TAAAATTACATACATTCATTCTTATTTGAAAAATTGACTGAGAAAATTGTAGAAAATTAATGTCTAATTACCTCCCTTTTTTTCATGAAATGTTAAATTCGGTAATATCTTTATAAATAATGCTTTTTTAAAATTTACTATTGATAAATCTTAAATTCTGAGCGTCATATTTACGACATTAAAACAAATATATATTATTGAAAAACAAATAAGAACACTTCTTTCCTGACAAAGTTTGTTGTTATATACGTTACATGATATAGACCAATATGTAGTTTAGCCACGTGCCGTAAACTGTTGTCAAATTAGGGCATTTCTACCAAAGAGAACAATGCCAAACACCCCACTGTCTACAAACATACCAATCGCAAGAAATTTTTTGCGAATTGGCTTTTTCTTAAATTTTCACGTAGGTGTAACTATCAGAATAAGTAACTTTCTTACTGCTCGTTTCGGCATTTCGCCTTGAAGCCATGACGTGAGCGACATAACAATTTTACAGTAAAAATTGATGTTAACAGACTGAAATCATGAAATCATTCAAAACTATGATTAAGTTTTAAAATCCGGTCGCTGATCATTAATGAAATTGATTATTTTAATTGACTAACAGTTTTGGTGATAGCCGTGGAAAAATCCATTGCACATCGCCTTTACTCGGTTAAAAACCCACCATCGAAGTGCATCGTGTATATCCCAAAAAATTAGGGAAGATTGCACGTGTTTAGATAATCGGGGAAAAAACAATGTATAATTATCGCCAAATCCCGTATTAAACTCGCAAAACTATCACACAATTCGGGCCGATGCTCTCATTATTTACTGTTTAGAGTAGGCGGTCTATCGCTTCGCTTACAGGTAGAAGGGTAGTATAAAGCGACGCTCTGATTGGATAATGATAATTAGCGGTCGTCATATGGGCGGATACAATCTCTGCTCTTTACATCGCTAAGTAATTACTATTTGGGAATTAAGATTTTATCGGCGATGTTGACTTCTCTTTGATCAATCGGGTGAGCGAAATTGGAATATACACGGCGAAGTTTTCGCCTGAATCGCCCTTCCGGATGAGCCCTGGTCATAAAACTTATTTACTGAGATGGTGCATACAGAATAACAATACATATATTACAATTCATGCCTTTGATATTATTAAAGCTACATCAAATTTTAAGATTTGAACAGAACATTTCAAGAAAGAGCACCATACTAGTCCATATTGAGATAAACTGTATTTAAATTGTTAATTTTTATGTGCTTCCTACGTAGTTTAAAATATTTCAATTACAAAGAGCCAACATTGTCTTTTCCTCTTCTTCACTTGTAAGTGCAATTGCTACATATTTCAAATCCAGACTTCACCATACATGACTGTAGAGATGAAGAAAGTTTTCAAGATCTGTGTGTAATGTTCGATACTTATATTGTAATGTTTGATACATAGTTGTAATATGTTGCACACGCTATCATGTGTATAATATTGTAGACAATATATTTTAAACATTTCAGCAACACTGTTAACAGTATCTGATAAAATTTTCAGTTTCTATATGTGTGTTTATAATAGTAGTTTTTTTACTAACGCGGTGAAACATTATTGGGGTTTGAAACTGATTTAGATGATAATCAACAATATTGCCTCATCTATATATACGCATTAAAATTACAAACACCAAATTACTTTATTTTAACAATAACTAGAACTATCATTAAATGTGATTAATACCCCCACAAGACTGCTTCGGAAATGAGGATGTTACTAAGTAACAGAATACCTTGTAAAAGAATTGAAATATAGAGTTAGGGTTGTGGGCAATTAGAGATAGTTGTGGTTCTTATATGTTGCATTTCCTTTCAATGTGGTTGACCATTGATGAAGTTTAATTGAATTACTCTGTAATAAGTCCAGAAATACAAAGAAAAGGTACAAAGGGCAATAACTCTATAAATACTGAAGATAGAATTATCGTTCTTGTGCACTGCACTTCCTCTTATTGTGCTTGACCGTTGTATGAAGTTGTTTTGAATTCCAACCAGTACGTTTAAAGTTATGCTCCTGACAAGGAAAAGTATAAAGGGCAGTAACTCTGTATTTTGTCAAAATGGAGTTATGGCTCTTGTGCACTGCACTTCCTTTAATGTCCTTGACAACTGTATGAAGTTGTATTGAATTCCAAACAGTAGTTTTCAAGTTATGCTCTGGACAAGGAAAAGTAACAAAGGGCAATAACTCTGTAATTAGTCAAGATAGAGTTATGGTTCTTATGCACTGCACTTCCTCTCAATGTGCTTGACCATTGTATGTAGTTATATTGAATTCAAACTATTAGTCTTCAAGTTATGGTCCGGACAAAAAAAAAGCAATGGAAAAGTAACAAAGGGCAATAACTCTGTAATTACTTTAGATACAGTTATGGTTCTTGTGCACTGCACTTCCCCTTAATGTGTTTGACAATTGTATGAAGTTGTTTTGAATTCCAAACAGTAGTTTTCAAGTTATGCCCTGGACAAGGAAAAGTAACAAAGGGCAATAACTCTGTAATTAGTCAAGATAGAGTTATGGTTCTTATGCACTGCACTTCCTCTCAATGTGCTTGACCATTGTATGTAGTTATATTGAATTCCAACCATTAGTCTTCAAGTTATGCTCCGGACAAGGCAAATGCAACGGACGTCTGGACCGACCGACCGACCACCCGACCGACCGACCGACCACCGGGTAACTCCTATATACCCCCCCAAACTTCTTTTTTAGGGGTATAAATATAGTCATGGAATATTTTCTCAAAACAAAAGCAAAATCGCTTAAAACATTAACAAATGTATAGATTGCCATCAGAATAATACAGTAATGTTCAATACGAAATGTAGTGAACATTACAATACCTATAATGAAAGGCATATCACTTATAATCTATATCTAAACAGCTTTAGTAAGGAAACCTTGCTTACAGATTCTGGCTGTAGAAGAAAATTAGTATTAAACGTATTACATCTTTGTTTTTGTAGTTACTAGAATCCAATATTCAGTTACTAGATCCTAAAGCTTTACTAATACAAAATTAAGAAAATCTTATTATTACTGTAAAAACAATAAAGGATGTATACATTTATGCTGCATCTATGATTAAGTATAACACAAAAATGACTAATCTAAGTGCTGGTTAATTGAAAATTAAGTATACTTAAGCCATGTTACATTTTTATCGTATTGAACATTACAATCACGTACATTACAGACACCTACGTATTAAGATATATTAAAAGATTCGTGGGCACAATTCTTTCAGATTTGGTTATTTTATATCCCTCCAAATGTAAATCATTTATTAAAAATTCCTTAATTGGGAAATATTGCATAGAACGTACTGAATTTTAAGTAGCGAACATTACATGCTTAAGTCATCATCTGGCACAGGCTGTCAAAGTAATAGAATCTGGGTAAAATCTTAAAATTTATCATAAGAAAGGTAAGTCTGGCAATAGTAGCATAAGTATTTAATTGTAAATAAACATATAAATGACTTAGATCACTATATTATTTTCAGTTATGTGCGGCACTTAATTTACAAGTCGCGTACATTACCGTTGACGGTAAATTTCAGCGACAGTTCCAAAACATTCTAAATATGACAAAGATCAGTCTTTTTAAGCTGGTCAAGCCTCGAAAACAGATAAGAAGACATACATACACATGCACAAATTAAATTTTTGCCGAAATTGTATAGTTTTCTTTGTGTTACACTAGGTCAAAAATGGATAACTCAAAACGGCGACAGTCTCAAACATTACATTTCCAATAGGTTCATCATGTGAATGGGCAGTGGTGCAACTGTTGATTATGTCATCTTGCTGTCAATGAGCAAGACAATATTTAATTTAATTCCATATCATCCAGAATACGGACAGATAATAATCTGTTTATTCAATGGCCAAATGCACAGTTGAGTACTGTTTACAATCAATATACAACTGCTGAGTTTGATTAATTACCTTGACATTTTTAATGTTTTACTTTCAGAATTTAATCTCTAATATTATGAATCAGGATCAGGGTTGATTTTTTTTTAATCAAGTCAGGATATCTAATGTATGTTGATGTCTATATTTTAAACTGTTAAACAAAATCCTTGACATAAACCCCATCTGATTCAATTAGTTTTGGCTGCATGCTTAAGTGATGGTTCATAGTTTGTACATTTAAATATTCATATTGGGAAGAGGAATATAGGCTGAACATGGCTCACTCTGACAGACACCCATTGACAGTCTCTATATGAAGTACGCAAATATCCAAGGTATATCGAGTGAAAAGATATGAGTTGTTTCCCTTATCTTCGATTAAAATCAATATATCTAATGCTGAAACAATACAAATTTAGCCCTTTTTTAAACTGCTAGTTTGGGGCGATTTGATGTGCGATTTTAAAATTTATTACACCAATGAAATAGCTTGTGATCTTAGCTTTGTCTCAGTATATATTTCAACACATTGTTTGATGCTAAAGCCAGTAAAGGTATTTAAATTTACTGCTAAACCTACCATATGTCAGACCATTTTGCAAACTATTAATACAGTGAGATACGCAACCCTAATCTTTACTCACAATTCAACTGATAAGAATAGCCTGTCGTCTGCTAGTTCTGAAACTGTCGATCGTGAATCGGTCATTTGTTGTATTGAAATTTGGCAATTTGCAAAAACTACAGCTTTTCAACCCATCTTTTTCTACTTTAGATAAATGTGTTAAAAATAACAATAATTTGGTTAAATTTTAAACAGCAGTAAAACCTTACTCAAAATGTATAACTAAATTTTTAAACTATTATATTTGAATGGGTCGAAAGTTTATTGGACGAAACTGATCTAAAGAAGACGATTTGACAATAGCCCTCATTTTCGACCATAGATTACTAACTTACTGAGACTTATCAATTATAATTTATCAGTGCTAATTAATTCTGATGTCTCTAATACATCAATTGAATTCAAAATTTACAAAAACGCAACTTTTCACGTTTACCTTGCAAGCGGACATGAAAGTAGCCATGTTAGTGAATGCTTTATCTGTAAAACTTGGTCCGATTGGATGAATAGTTTGTGTAAACCAATCAAATCGTCTGTTGCTTAAAGGAATGCTGACAACTTCATCCATGTTGTTTCGTGTCAGAAAATAAGCCGAAAAGTTGGAAGAAATCTTGTAACTCTGGTTCTTAAAGAGTAGAGATATTATTGAATATAGAGTAAGTTTACACACACAAGTTAATACCAAATCTTTATGGAAAATTTTGATTTATATTTTCAGTACTAACACGATTATTTACCAGTTGCTGACTTTTGAACTCCTGATTTTTCTATGTGGGTGGGGTAAATAAGAAAAAATATGTGGATGGGTAATCTCGTTCGGTTTACAACAGGAGTAAATATTTATGCATCTTTTGATTGAAACTAAGATCTGTCGTGTGGATTCTAGATTCAGAATGTGGTATAACCCAGGAGATGATAAAAAAGTAATTAACAGGTCCCTGATCTGACAACTTACAACATTTTTATGTATCAGTGATTTTTTTTTCAAATTTTCAAAACAACCTCTGGCTTTCTGAAGGGGAAAATATAGCGCAATAAATCAGAAAAAGGGGGAAACCTGAAATCAAATACGAACAACTGAGAATGCTATTTACCCACACATTTTTATAATTTTCAATTTAACCATCATGGTACATAGCAGAGGTGTACGGACATAATCCCCTTCTGACAAAATCCCCATCGAATACCCGGACAAAATCCCCTCCATGGGTGGACATAATCCCCTTCATGTTTTTGCAAGACTGGACAAAATCTCCTTATGAAAGTTATGTACAGTACCCGAACAAAATCCCCTTGTTTCATAGGTTTCTAATGTATTATTATGCTCTAAAAAATTGATGAATAATGAACTTTTGTTTTTTTCCATTATGCATCAAGTTAACCTTTATAATTTAAAAAGCTTAATAAGACATAATTTTGCAAGTATGAAAAACATTTTATTTAGTTTAACAGCGTTCATTTTAATTGTTTGAATATTATATTGTTATGAAAATTGGAACAAATATGTTTAAACATGTAACCATGGGGGCCTTAGCCACAAACAACAATTTCAATTCCATTATTACAAAAATTACTTAAAAATAGAATGATAACTCTCTAATAACAAATTGGATCATGGAAAGGAAGAATACAAAGAAACCACACATCAACACCAGATAAATATGAACAATAATTAAAATTTAAATTAAGATCTACTAACAAGTACAATGAAAGTACAGTGATATTTACAGGGTTCAAATTTCAGCTCACACATATAGATAAGAAATATATTAGTAAGCTTTGAATATTATGATTTATTTCCAGGGCCTTTTTACCCTTCTGTACTGTAGCCGGTATTCGGCTACTTCCCCAAGCCAACTTACTACCTTTTTTCCCCCAAAAAAAGTCTAAAATTCCCCTTCTTGCAAAGATTTTCCCTTTCAGAGAAATGTTACATCGAAGAAAAAAACTTGTTAACAAACTTTCTTGTTTAAAAATAGATCATTGTTTTTGTCCAATGAAAGCTAATTATTCAATTACCCACTAGAGGGATACCTCAAATCAAGAACCCTCACATGTCATACGTAAATTTTCTATAATTAGGAAATATGAGTTAATGTATTCTTAGGCAAATAAAAAGTGGCAATAAATTGATCTGTAAAAAAATCCCTGTAACTTATGTTGGACAGAAAGCTCCTAAAATAAGTGTGTTTGGGGGAAAATATGCAAATATATTATGATATTTCCCCCAAATGTATGATTTAAATAAGTCTTTATTTATAGTAATAACGGTTAAACTGCCAGTGGAAAATGTGATTTTTTTCCCCCAAAAGTATTAAAACCGCACATTTTTTCCCCACAAAAAGGGCTTGGGCGCCTTCCCCAAAACTAGTGAAAAGGCCCTGATTTCATTTTGTTTGATTTTTGTCTGTTTTAGTTCATTCACATTGAATAATTATATACATTTTTATCAATTACTTGTAGTGTTTACATTTTTATTTCAGATACAAAATTATCAAAAATGTTTTTGTGGGACTGGTTGACAGGAATGCTCAGTTTTCTAGGTAATATATTTTTTAAGTTCTCATTTCTAAACAATGCTTTTTGAAGGGTAAACAGCAGTGTCTATTCTAGGAGAGGGGATTCAGGGGAGGGCCCCCGATAATGTTGTTATAACTTTTGGCCCAACCCTTTTGTATATTTACATTAATGTATTTATGTGTAATTGTGAAAATTTATGTTTGTATGTATATATATACAATAAAATATGTTTAAACTATTCACTCCTATTTTTGAGAATTCCCCCTATTTTATCAGAGGCAGGGGGGAAATTTTACATAGAGAAAGAAGGGAAAAAAATCAACAAATGTAATAAATTCTCACTTTTTGATTAAAATCCCCCTGTTTTTCAAATCCTAGAATAGACACTGAAACAGGGAAGCATTTTATGGTATTTGTTGAACAAATATCAGCAAAGCACGAAATTGTAAATAAGTCAGTTTTCTTAAGTGGGCATGCCATAGTTGTGGATACATGTACTATACCCTGATTACATAAAGAGAAAACAGGTTATATCTCCAGAGATAATACTAATTATAGAAAATTTTAATTGGTTATATGGCCCAGAACAAACAGCTGTCAGCTTATATAACCTATCTAAAAAGTTAAAACCTAAACTAAATAGTTATCCTAGTGTAATGTTAAAAAGAAGCTTGGCCTTTTCAAAGAATAGGCCATTGAAACTATTTTAAAGTTTACTCACACAGACTACAGTTAAGTTTTTAGTCCAAGTACAGTATCTCCAGAACTGATGAAGAGAATGGGTTTAAACTGCACACACTTATTTGAGAGCATAATTAGAGGTAAATCAAAGGCCCATAACACTAACTTGGATTTTGACAGAATTGTAGCCCTTTTGGAATTTAGAAAAATCTTCATCATCCATGCTCTTGTTTTACTATCAAGAACTAAGAATAGTTGAACATGCTGCCCTAACTACAGCTCTTGTTTATTTTCAAAATGGTTATACCTTTATTATACCAACAAATAAACTTAATGTCCTTAAACATAGCTTGAAATGAGAAAAAGTGTTCTAGGTTTACACCGGTTTCTATTTCTGTTCAGGTTTTGGCAGGAAGAATGGTAAGTTGATATTTCTAGGTCTGGACAATGCTGGAAAGACAACATTACTGAGTGTTCTGAAGGAGGGTCACATGGTGCAGCCTGTCCCCACACTACACCCTAGTAAGTGGCATGTAGCCACTGTTCGGAGGAAGTTCATGAACTGTATTTGTTCATAACTTAATGTGCTTGTCATGTACCGTCATTTTAACAAATGTTGCAAAACTGATTGGCTTTATAAATAATAAACTGGATCTACATTCCTGATTTAATTAATAGATCAGAAGTCCTGTTCCAATACTAACAGCAGCATTTGCTAGTATCATTGTGTCTCATCTTACAATAAATTGACTCCATAAATTGGTTTTGGAGAAAAATATCTTGCCCACTTTTTTGCGTTTTATCAAAAAAATAGTTCAAATGAGATTATCATTTATAAGGTCAGTTTCTTTGCAAAATTTCCCTGTTTTGTATCAACCATGCATAAAACATGGATGCAGAATGCATAACAAATATGTTTACATAATTCCTGTTTGTTTTTGCTTTAGAGAAAGTCCATAATGTTGACACCACATAATACAGCATGTTATTTCACTGCATGTTTTAATTTCATGTATTTGTAGGCTTATACAAGAAGTCTGGCAAACTAGTTTTCCTCGGCCTTGACAACGCTGGTAAAACCACATTGCTTCACATGCTCAAAGATGACAGGATGGCACAGCATGTTCCTACCTTACATCCAAGTAAGCATTTTGCTTTACTAAAGTACATCTTATTAAACTTCTTTTATCCCAGCTTTTTTCCCCATTCTAACCCATCCTGTATTGTAGTAAGCATTTTATCATCCGTTTAGGCAGGTAAGCAAGACTGTCTCTGATTGAAAATTTCTTTTAGACATATGTATGTAATTTTCTGATTTCATACAAAATTAAATGTTGTCAAAATTGCATAACCTAGGCAAAAAATCTTGTAGGAAAGTAATGTTTTGTGTAGCTATTTAAACAAACTGTTAGCAAATGGTGAGGGGCATCTGTGGACTGCTGGTTAAGGTCTTTGACTTCAAACCACTTACAATGTACCCCTCACGACTGTCATGGTTAGAATTCCGCCAGGTGAGAGAGCTATCCAGCTAGCTAACAATTTGTATATGATTCTTTTTTAGTGCCCCTTTGTGTCTGAAATAATGCACAGAAGGGCTCCAGAGGTCTTTTGCGACCAGTATAGCTGGAAGTCACCATAGGGCTTTTGTCATTTTACAGTTCTACATATAAACCCCCCCCCCCCCTAAAAAAAAAAAAAATTAAACAAAAAAAAAAACAACAAATCAAATGGATAATGGCAGAGTGAGCCCTGGATAAGCATGCTGGCTTACCTAATATTCTAATGCAGTATATTTCCCACCATACAATACATAAAAATATCTCATGTATGAGTAAGCATACAGCACATGCCATATGCATTGACATACACCTCATGCAAGTAAATGTATAGTGCACTTAGCATGAAAGTAAACATATAAAGGTGTAAAATGCAAAAAATATGTAGTCCTCTTTAGTACATAAAGGCAAGTATATGCAATAAAACAGCTTCAATTTTACATTTAAATGTGTACATGTGAAGCAGAACTACTTTTCAAAAGTCCACTTTACATAAAATTGAAATTTATTACTGGATTTTTATGTACAGGTCAACATGTAGTCCACTATATATATTCATGAATGTTAACATAATTATATTCCTCTTTATATGCAAGTCAATATTTAACTTTCACATTCCACTTTCAGTTTATACAAATATTTATAGCCAATAATTTGTTTTACATGCAAGTTATCATTCTACCACTATACATTCAAACAAACAGTTTGCATACCTGCCGTTCATGTACCTCAAACTTAGCATTTTGTATTTTTATGCCCCCACAATGTGGGAGCATATAGTGTTGCACTTGTCCGTCCGTCAGTACGTCCCGAAATCTTGTGAACGCAACTCCTCTTAAACCGGATGGCAGATTTTGCTTAAACTTACAGGAATGAACAACCTTAATGTGTAGATAGTATTAAAGGAAGGAATTTTCGCTGCGACCAAATTTAACAGAATTATGGCCCTTTGTTGATTTTTTCACTAGATACTATGTAGAAATTTTGTGAACGCAACTCCTCTTAAACCGGATGGCAGATTTTGCTTAAACTTACAGGGATGAAAAACCTTAATGTGTAGATGGTAGTAAAGGAAGGAATTTTTGCTGCGACCAAATTTTACAGAATTATGGCCCTTTGTTGATTTTTTCACTATATACTATGTAGAAATTTTGTGAATGCAACTCCTCTTAAACCAGATGGCAGATTTTGCTTAAACTTCCAGGGATGAACAACCTTAAGGTGTAGATGGTAGTAAAGGAAGGAATTTTTGCTGCAACCAAATTTAACAGAATTATGGCCCTTTGTTGTTTTTCATTATATACTATGTAGAAATTTTGTTTTGTGAACGCAACTCCTCTTAAACCGGATGGCAGATTTTGCTTAAACTTCCAGGGATTAACAACCTTAATGTGTAGATGGTAGTAAAGGAAGGAATTTTTGTTGCGACCAAATTTAACAGAATTATGGCCCTTTGTTGATTTTTAGTTTTCAACTTGTGGCACATGTAGTCAAAAAATATTTGACCTAGAGTTATAAGATTGACAGAACAGTGGCGTGTGGGGGCATCCATGTCCTATGGACACATTTCTAGTTTTAGTACAATATAACATAAGATTCATATGACAATCTTGTAAGCAATCACATTCAATCAAGGCTTTTTAAATTCCAGCATCATGTGCATGTGCTCATCATTAACATTTGTTCATTGTTGATAACTCATGTTTGTTTTAATCTCAATTCAAAACAAGTTTGTTATGTCTTATAATACATTATCTCTGTAAAATATTTCTTATTCCTTTTGATAGTGATTGAATTTCTAAAGAGCAGGGTGAATTTCACTATGACACTGACAGTTAAATTCAATTAGATTTACCATAGATAAATCTGGATTTTTTTTTCAATCAGTTATAAATGTCTTCCATATTATTAAATTTTAAATTGTTTAGCATATTTAGTCTTACAATTACTGTCTTGAAATGTAACACAATCAATGAGTAGACTTCTTTATATCTGTATATAATTAAGTGTAAAATACATGTAATAATGATTGGAGAAACACTGGAATTTCATGAATTTTTTTTCAGGACAAGTTCATTATTCTTTAACATTTAATTTCTAATAAATGGATTAACCCAGCTTCTATTTTTGTCCTTTTGGAGCCGTCCATTATCAATTCTGGGCATAACAAGATGAAAATTTGCTGTTGGTCTGCCAGAGCCTGATCTATACTGTACAGTATGTTGTGCAGGCAGGCCTAGCCTGGCAATTTTACTAGTGGAAAAGGCCAGCCAAAGGTAAGGGTTATACAAATTTAGCATAGTAGGAGTAAAGCTACATGTATATATGTACATTTTGTTGTTTCAGCATCAGAAGAGTTATCAATGGGTGGTATGAGATTCACAACATTTGACCTTGGTGGTCATCAGCAAGGTATGTCACTGAAGTTTTATAATCACCTATATCTAAAGTTTATTTTGTGGTGGCATCCATTGCAGAGTGGTTGAGATCACTGACATGAAGTTGAAACACTTGGCTCCTTTCTGCTCTGGGTGATAATATTGCATTATTGCACAATGCAAATGGCATTGAATTAATTCTTTGCTAGTTTACACAAGGTTATGTGTAATGTTGATTGTAGTTCTGTTTGATCTTGCCATAACACTTGAACTCCACCAGTATAGCTTGAGTTGTTGCCATATAAGTTATGACCTTTACAGTGAAGGTTTGACTTGAAACCAAACTACCAATCACAGAAGTACATAATGAAAATACATGTTCAAATGAAAATGCCATTAAAGCATTCACCATTTTGTAATTGCACTTTGCTTATTAAATTCAGCTTTTGAACCATTTTGTCCAAATGACACTTTTTGGTCTAAAAGCTTTGCATTTGCATGCTCTTTGTGTATGGATTCTAACATTTTTTATATATTTACAGCTCGTCGTGTATGGAAGGATTATTTCCCAGCTGTAGATGGTATTGTGTTCCTTATAGACACATTTGATAGACAAAGATTTGTGGAAGCAAAGGCAGAATTAGATGTAAGTATAAAAAAAAGAGTACAATACTGAAACTACATCAAAACTTAGAATGATAACCTTATTTAAAAACTGTTGTTCTATTGTGTTCTGAGTGTTCACTGTTAAATATTAAGGATAGAAGAACTATTTTCTGCACAGGTTAACAAACTTAGCATGTTAGTTGAGCAGAAAATTTTGTTTAGAGGTGAAAAGTCATGGTCATAACATTTAAAAATTTATACATGTTTCCAGGGATATTTTCAATGAATTGTTTCATGTTATTGTAAACAGACATACTGAGTTGTTAATATTGCTGTTAGCACTCAAGTTTTTATATTTATATCAAATATGGAAAAAATGCACTATATAATGACACTGTTAATGTTTGTTTATTTCAGAGTTTATTGACAGATGAACAGGTAGCAAATGCTCCTGTTTTGATTTTAGGCAACAAAATAGACATCCCCGGTGCTGCTAGTGAAGATGAAATCAGAATGCAATTTGGTCTACATGGTCAGACAACAGGAAGGGTAGGTTGTCTGTTAATATTTCCTAAATCTGATACAAGTTTTTGTGTAACTCTCAGTCTGCTGCTGGTGGCCACAGATTCTACCCATGGGACCAGTGCATATCAAGAATGGACGGCACATCTGTGTAGTCTATCATGGTCTGCACTGTTTGCTTTTCAGTCAGTACATATTTGAAATTAGCAAAAGTCCATTTTAAATGTTTAGCATGGGTTAAAGAAATTGCTTAGACTTGTCAGAATGAGGTTTTTGTTATGATATATTTATTTTAGTTCTTGAACACATGATTCAGAGTAAATATGACAGGACTTTAGGACTATTTAAAGTGAAGAAGACTTTGTTCTACAGCTTCAATACCTGATTCTTTAAGTGTTCTCGCTTGTGTTCAGCAAAAGATTCCCGATTATATTGGGGGTTACAATTTTAATTTAAAAATCACCAAGTTTAACATTTTATATAATCAGTTTAAAAAAAACATATGCTTTTCTTTAGCTTTCAACATTTTGTATTCTTAACATTTTCTTTCTTTAACAGTATTATTTTACGAATAAAAAACAATACATTGCTTTGTTTACAGGGTACAGTAGCAAGACGTGATCTCCCGGGTAGACCTATGGAACTGTTTATGTGTAGTGTGTTAAAACGACAGGGTTATGGTGAAGGATTCCGTTGGTTAGCACAATATATCAATTAAAGAAAATATAATTATATATAAATATATATGAAACAGATATTGGGTGTGTGTACAAGGATTTTCAACGCGAAACAAATATGCAGCAACATAAACTACAAGAGGCAACGGTCATCTGGCCTGTCATTGATTCGATACTTCGAAGGAATAATAAATTCATAATAAAAACACCAAGCTGCAATAAGTTTGCATCAAGAGAGTTCTTATTGTTATAGCCCATACAATATATTAAATGGTTTTAGAATTCAGCTTAAATGATTAAAGAACATATCTATAATGTCAGATGTTTACTCTAGTTGTTAAAAAAAGTTTAAGAATAATGGGCTTTTTTATTTACAGTTTTAACAAGAAAGAGTAAGGGTTTGGGGAGATATCTGGTCAGTTGCAATTTCCTATTTCTATACTAAATAATTCATATTAAATTTGACATTATCATATAGGCAGAGATACTTTGTCATGTTTTTCTATTTATCATACAGATTGTTGAACCTTATTTTAAGTATGATTATGTTAGTTTTATGTGTTCTAAATTGGATAAAGTGCTTAAATGGGTTATTTATTCTAACTGACCTGAAACATATTGTGCATAAATTTAACTATTTTTAATGTCCTCTTTGTGATTAATTATTTTCAGCAATGATTCTTCTTTGTTGCTTGATTACAATAAGGCCTGAAAAACATCATAAAATGGCAAAATAAACTGGTGATACACCATTTAAAATATGATGTCATTAATTGACGTCACATAGGAGTATTGACGTCATGATGTCAAATATGAAAAGTGTAATTTGTAGAAATATTGTACAGTAATATTACAATGAAATCAAGCGATGTCAAATGATAAATGGTAAATTTAAATACAAGCCCTGGTGATAGGGTGGTACTAATTGCAGACTTATTGCACCTTGATAATGTAAGCATTATGTGATATTCCTGTACACATACAGTTGAGTTTATGTTAACCCTTACCTTGCTGACATTGTTGAAATGGACTAGTCCAGATTTGAAGTTGGAACAGCCCATTGTTAATTTAAGGGCTGTAATCATCAAAATAACAAGATCAAGCAGAGGACAGTAAAAAACCTGGCCAGACTGTTTGCATTGTAAATACAATATCGTCCTAAGAAAGGCATTGTAAGGGTTAACTTATTTTGATTACTTTAATTTTTAACTAACCAAAATTGATCTTTACTTTCTTTACCTTTGATATTAGGCATTGTTTTCTTTGTGTATAAATTATTCTGCTTGTGATTTCTATCAAATACCTCTTTTCTTTTGGTCTTACAAATTTGTATGTTTTAAGTTCTAGATTTAAATGCTAACATTTTCAATGATTCAATTTTTTCAAACCTTCATTCAGCTTGTAGAAGGTCTTAGTAAGGGTTAAATTTTTAAAACTGTGTTTCTTTTTTAAGAAGGAAACAAGAATAGGCTGCAATTATTTAGTTCAGGTGATCATTTAAAAAAAATCTAAATTTGATTTATCATTATGAGTGTCTCAGTTAGAGATACTATAAGCTTTAAATTTATTATGTCACATGACAAAAGTTAAATATGAAAAAAAAACTGCATTTGAAATAAAAACAATATTGATTAGGAGAGTAATAGGGCAGTGCCTTGATATAAAATCTCTTGAGTTTTATTTTGTTGGGGTGGGGTGTGATGAATATGTCGATTTCTGCTAACTTGCCCCCTCATTTCTGCGTTGACATCCTGTGACTGGAGTCTTTAAAGTACATTTTGTAAATCTTGAATAAAAATGGCTGCACTTAGAACAATCAATTGTACTTGAATGTTATTTTATTTTGGTCATGAAGATCTGTGTTCATCAAGAATGATGTTGTTATTATAACATTCTTAACAAAACATAATCTTATTCTTTTTTCATCAGTGTCTTGTAATTTGTAAGTATTGTAATGGAAGTAATGTTACTAAAAGCTTACAAAATCAAATTGTAGAATAATTTTGAATTTATAAAAGAGAAGAGATTTACTGTTATACAAAGGCAATATATGCCTTTCTTTCATGTGAATACATGTTTATTTTATGTATATGTGTATGTATGTGTGTTTGTGTAATTAAATACTTGGTAAAACATATTTTTATCTTTCTCTTGAGCAAACTGTGCTTTAAATAAATTGTTTCATTTTTTTGTCAAATTAGATTTCTTTTATGATGTATTTTGTTGTTTTACACGCAAACTGTATTTGACAGCAATATAGGCCATTTGACATGATACACAGGTATCATGTTATTGTATGTCGCGTTTTATTTATTTCTCTTTATTTTGGGGTGGCTGCTTTCTTTTTCTACACGTTTTTCTCTGGTGGTAAATGAGAGGTATGTATCTCAAAATTTTATAAAGATCATATTGTGACTTTAAGATTCTTCTGCATATATATACATCACACTGCCCTAATAACTATAGTCTATTGCAGTATATGGTTAAAATATAAATCCATGAAAAGGTTCTTTCATCCATGGTTGATTAAGGTTGCTGACTGAAAATGACTTTACCATCACTGCCGCAGATTCAGTTCCTGGCAGGGACTTTGATTCTTCCAAATGAGGGAGATTCCTGGTAGCTTTACTTAGGAAAGTTGGCACTTCTGCCCCTGTTTTGTGCCTGAAATGATGCATGACAAGACACATTGGGTCTTCTCCAATACAGCTTGAAAGATGCCATATGAATTTTAAAGTGTTGCTTTGGCTTAAAAGTTAAAACCCTACAAAAAAAGTGGGGGGGAAAATGAGTAATGCAACTTCATGCAACACTTTAAACAGTTGGGTATTTTACATAAAAAAATTACAATGTATATCATCAAAAATTATTTTAGTCATACCTTAAAGATAAATTTTTGTAATGCATGATTTAAATATGAGTCTCTGTGTGATCTTTATCAGATTATGAGTTTTTATATGATCCATGTACATACAAAAATGTTTTACCCATTGTGGCTTAACATGTATAAGTACAAGGGAAAATTTACATCATGTCTGACTGGTTGTATTGTCCATTGTTCATTTATCTTGCCTTGTGTAAAATGCTAAATTTAGACAGGAAAATAACATTCTTATCACCATCCTAGATCCTAACATGAGATCATAATGTCCTCCATCTTGACCTCATGATATACTGTAACAATGTGTACTAGATTATGACCTTTTAGTTCTATGTATGTTTTATGTAATAATAAATATATAGCTATTATTTCCTTATTTAAAACGTAATAATAATCTGATGTTAGAAAATATTATAGGGTACCTCTCCAGGTTCTTATAGAATCAAAAACAATCTATAAATTGTAAAAAAAAAAATTAAAAGTACATTTATAACATTGTGATTCTTTTGAGCCTAGTTTGCTTTTTTTGTTTTTTTGAATCCTAAGTTATTGAAGTTTGTAAACCCTGCATTACCTTAATGATTTGTGTGGTTTGCTATGTGTTTTAAGTAGAACAATTAGAAACAAAATCAGGTTTTTTTAGAGTTATTTTGAAAATCTTGAGTATTATTTTGTGTGTGTTCATTCCATAAACACTTTTTGAATAATTACCAAGAAGATTATATGTTGACATTAATGCTTAGATTTTGTTTTCAAGGACCATTTTAGTGTTATTTTCTTTTTCATTGTTCAAATATTGTATGAAAATTAGAGAATTAGAAATTTTTAAATCAGAATCACATCAGATTAAATAAAACAAAGGTATTTTCTGATACGAGACAAGGTACCAGTCTGTGAGAGATGAAATGTGCAGTTTAAATTTATTTATGATATAAAATTGTCACATATCTTTACTCAACTTGACAAAATTTTCAATACACATGTATAGCAAACAGTTGGGGTCCTTTTTTGATCCAGTATGGTTTATTGCGTTATATATTTGATTTTAAACTTTCTGTAATATAAATGTTTCCTTGTTTAAATGTCCATGTAAAAAATGATATTTCACAATTTTAAACAGTTGATTACATGCCATTGTTTATACACTCTTGATTACATGTGTATAAACAAGTCTACTTCCTGTTATTGCAAGAAAGGTACAAGTTGAAATATATATATATAGGCTGCCAAGAAAGGTACAGTAATTGGAAGTAACAGGTGCTTGTAATGGCAAGACATTGTACACATTCAACTGTATAAACTTGCAAGACAGGGTACAGTGATTTTGTTTATCCACTATTGAATTTTTCTTAATTTGAAACATGTAATGCTTTAGACCCCTTTTTCTACGCTCTTCCGTTACATTTCTTGTATAAATTGACTTGATCTATTTGTCGAAACAGATTGCTTTGTAATTAGATTTGCTTACAACATCTAGGATCATTTGTCTTATTTTTATCTTCAGATACTGTACAAAACTTATAATTGTATACATTACTAATTTTGTTAGGAGTGCATGGTTGTCGTATATTTTAAAAAAAGCAAGAATTATTGCAAATTTATCGAACCATTGTCAATAGTTTGTATAATATTAATAATAATAATGATGATAAACCATATGTTCAGTAAATATTGTTAAAGCCACTGTCTGTCTTGTTTGTTTATGTTGCCTGTATATAGAATAAATATGTAAATCCTTAAGTTTTTAGCTCGACTATTCAAAGAATAGGGTGGGCTATTGTTCGCCTTCACACTTGGGTTAACTTTTTGCATGCAAGTTGGTATCTCCAATGGTACTAAAGGGAATGAGCTGAAACTTCACACATCTATATATGAGAGCATAATAAGAGTTTACCATCTAAGGCCCATAACTCTTACATGGATTTTGACAGAATTATGGCTCTTTTTAAACTTAAAAAATTCTACATTATTCAGAATCAAGCACTGAGAATAGTTGAGCTGCCTTACTGACAAGTCTTGTTTATCACTACAGGGTTACAGTAGTGATTTAATCTATATTATCATAATTGATAAAACACACTTGCTATTCTTTGCTGTAGATTCTTATATCACAAGAAACTTCGGTAAGGTTGCTGACCTTGAAAACTCGAGCCTCGTGAAATCAGAAATCCCTCCATCTACTTTCATTACATAATGTATGTATGTGAAATTCAGTCAGTTACTTGGCATTATTTCAGTTGTGTTTGAAATTGGACCAATTACTTGGAATAATTTCATAAGCATTTGTATTTGCAATCTGGCTTAACAGCTAGCTAGCTTAAAGTAAGTCATCTGCTCAACACAGAAACCAACTGTCACATTTAACAAAAAAAAATATGCATTAAAAACACTAAGGGTCTATTCTCACCAGTAAAGCTAGAAAAATGCCATATTACTTTTAAAGAGTTGATATTACTTTAATTCCAACAGAAAAGTAAATAAGAAATTTATGCTGCCAAACAGGCCATGTTGCGCTTGCAAAAAGGTATGATAAAATCTTAGATTTGGTGCTTACAAAATTAATTAAATTCTACAGAAATACAATTGATCTCTATACACTGGTAATAAAAACTTACTGATTAAAGTCAAATGATTATTTATTTGTTATTTAAGTGCTTCTATATTTAACATAAAACTCCTTATATATTAAACGCGAACATTTTACAAGGGAGACAACCACGCTATCATAATTACTCAAAAGAATGCTTATTATCCCTCTTTACTTTGCTGTTTTTTTTCCAACTGGTGACTTGACTTATAATATAGTACTGGTGCCATATTTTTGAATCCTAGAGAGGCTGCTTGGAACCAGTTTGGTCATTTAATTAAGGCCCCATTTCTTTTGTATATACATGTATAAATTATGCCATACCTCTCGGACGTACAGTGTGGTTTTATTTCAGTAAACGCTTAGATTAAACATAAATATCATTATGTTGGATTGTTAATCCAGTTCTTACAACGTAGATAAATCGCCCCCGTGTCTGCTCCTTGAACTAACCAGTACTGGTGTCATTGTTGTCGTGACTTTAGAAGAGCTTGACATTATCAAGTAACAGTTTCTAACATCAACTTTCCGTACCTTGTTGAAGTTAAATAACTTATATCATGTACATTTTGATAATAAAATGGTGACAAAACTGAAATAGAAACTGCCTCATTTCACTTCATTTTGTCTTAACAGACTGGTGACTTCGGAGAGTTTTTTTTAAATATGTCTTATATTTCTATAATTTGATTGAAGTGAAGCTTTCATGTAAGAACCCCGAAAAGGAATCGTTAGGAACGTTTATCCAGAATGCACGAAACTTATAGGCACACGAGCATATTTCTCATGTATTTATCATTTCTGTTTGTGCTGTTTTGTTGTTGTTGTTAGTGTTTCCCCTTCTTCTTTTTCTTCTTCTTCCCGGGTAGTTACCAACTTTCTTCTTTCTTTCTCATCTAGTAATTTTACGTTATTCCACGGTTTTCATGCTTCAACATATTGACAATAATGCAAAAAAATATGATATTTCCAAAATATATCAAGAAATGTATAATTAAATGTATGAATTAACACCTCTAAGACTGTCCATTTTGCACGGAGATGGACCTAAAATACTTCTACACCAGTGAAGCTGTGAAGCCGCCATATGGCTTATAAAGTGTTGGTCTGACGTAAAAGCCGAACAAGTTTTCCAGTAAAGTTCTGTGAAATAGACGTTTCGTGGATGAAAAGATTGTCTGAAAAAATGGACAATAATTATTGTATGGTCTGAGTGAAAAACAAGTAAATAAGCTGACTTTTTCATGAAAACTGTAAAACCTCTAACTACGAGTTGAAATAATGAGCTATATCATGTATGGGCAATATCTCACTTTTCTGACCAAGAACAAAAACATCTCAATTCATGCCTAAGCACGTCAAAATATTTTGACTAGCCATCAATCTATTTCTTTCGTTTATATCTCCAGCCACACCTTTTTCTGCATAATATTGTCCTAGATTCTTTGGAAATTTCTGGCATATATGCTTTCATTTTGCATGCAGTCATAACGGTCCTTTAAATTATAAACAAGGACGGAAAAATCAAATGTCCGTAAGTAGAAGGAATACTATAGTAGGTTGCCCAACAACCTGTACGGACATGTATGTGAAAATTTCCCAGAATTTACTTTGTAGATATCATTTGTAAAAATAAAGAAATGCTTAAGGAGAAACTGAAAGGTAAGTCTGCTGTAAGTAGAAACCAACCCTGTTCAGATTGGAGGGGTTGAGATTTTTCTGTCTGACTGGAGAAAGCATTAGCTTGCACTCAACCCCTTCCTGTGTATCAGTTATCTCTGACTGGCATGCTAAGCATATATATCTAGATTTTTTCTTTATTCACGCAACAATGATAACGAAAAGAGCTTTATTGGCCCTACTTGATCGTAATTATAGCTCCTATACTATATACAGTACTGCCTCAGTTAGAGCGTTGATGTAAATTGGGTATCAAGTAAATATGCAATACATTTTTCAAACATTACGAACCTTCTTCCGTTTTTTGTTCATGTCCAGTTTCATTTCATAAAAAAAATCTTTGTGATAGAGGAAAAAACGTTAGATAAATTTGTTTAACTAATTTAGTGGTGTTCAATGCTTTCATAGAAATTGTAGAAAATACCATAAAGCGAAAAATATAACAGCACCGTTTTGTGAAAAAATAGGGCGGCAAATATTTGAAAAAATTAAAGGATTGAAGCTGTCTTGAAAATCATCATTAAATACTTATCTGTAAGACAGGTAACATACTTTTTTCAGAAATATAAGGTATACTGTTGTCACTTAATTGATAAGTTATGGCTGTCATTCTGATTAGTGTTGTCAGTTGAAAATATTCATAGGCCATGCGAAAAAAAAAATGCAACCGAAAAGTAAAAAGATAATGAAATAACAGAAAACTCTGGCCATGCTATGTATTTGTGAAGTAAGATGGTACCCTATTGACCATTGTTCATATTATTTCCAGCAAATTGTACAAATCAAATTGTACATTTTTAACTGGTAAAAATTGGGTAAAATAAAGAAGTTTTTTTCAACACATGCGATAGCTGTGGATTTTGCTATCAATGACAGAAATTTATTTGAAATAGAAATATTTCTAAAAATTTCTATCTAAATTAAAAAAAGCAGCACTCACTTTCATGGTTGGTGGTAGTCCAATATATTAGACGTTACAGGCTTGTTATAGTTTTGTCGGTCAAGCCTGACGTCTAATAGTTATTGCTCAAAAACGCATAGCATCATAAAAAATTCCAAAAATTTCTATTGTCCTGCCTTGCAAGCTTTATTCAAAAGATTATCATATTTTCTTTCAATTTCATGCTCAATCATACACAAAAACTGTCAAACGATGTACTTATATATTTAAAATAAAATATAAACATCAATCTATTTTTGTCTATCAGCCATACTGGTTAAGCAAGGTGCTTTACAGATTGATTCCAAATTTTTGAACGGAAAAATATATTCGAACACACTCTGACGGTGCATGGGCAATTATTTCGTTAAAAAAATATTCCGTTAGATTGTTCTGACTCAGTTAAACGCTTGCATTTGAATTAGCCAATCAGATTTCGCGCACTTTACGGCCGCCATTTGTTTATCGGCTTTAAAAGGAATTGAAATACATGAGAGGATTTAATCGTGATTTTTCGGATGTGACAGTTTAATTATTTTGACAAAAGGTATTTATTTTTTAGTTTTGTCCATAAATAGGTCAAAAAATAAGTAAATACACGCTGTCTTCATTGTTTTTCGTTCCGCCCGATTTTCTGGCGGAACATGCTATGGGTTTTTGAGCAATTTCGATATGACGTTGCTTTGCCCAGAAGCAAAAAAATCTCAAAGCGACGTCATATTTATAGGACTAGGTTGGTGGCATTCAGTGTGTAAACACTTTCCGATTATACCGGGATGGGCAAAGATGCGATACCCGCAGGGATCTATCTTCCATTTAGTGAAACCCTTACTAGGGACCCAGTTTTAAGAGCAGTAAGCACACACTCTGAAAAGTGCCGGTCCGACGCACCTGATTAGTAAAATTACGTTTGGACCAGGAGGCGGTCCAACTGTCCGGTAACAATCTTAAGATTTTACATTCAACTTAATTACATAGATAAAATTTTGAATTAAAATAAACACATTACGTATTCCAAATCAATAATTTTCATAAATAGATTAGCCATTACGAAGTAATCTGTCGGGGATAAAATCATTAAAAAATATACACGTTTGTACTATTCCCACCAGGTACGGCATGTAAACAAATACTTACTTCTGGTTGAAAAATTATTAGTTTTGACTTTCGCGACTACAAGAAACGCTGTTTTGAAGGTGCTCGGCCAGGTCAAATTAGCGTCCAAACCCTTCGGTCCAGGGAAAACTCATTCGGGCCATAAATTCTTCCAAGATTGCGGGACCAAAAGGGCCCCTTTAAAATGTAACTCTCCCATTTTTTAAGGGGGGGAGACCCCCCAAATTTCTGCAGCCATATTATCAAAGTTTTTTCTTAAAAAAAAGGGGTTTTTCAAAAAATCAAAGAAATCCCCCTATTTTTGATGTCAGAACTCCCTTCTTTGTTTATTTCAAATTCTAAAATCTCCCTCTTTTTCAAG